AATTTGTATTGTATTGCCTAGATAAATCCTTTTAAAAACATTATATATGTATTATTTTCACACTTACAATATGACCTCTCATTCTACTTTATACGTTATAAAATATATTTTATATCGTATATTATATTTAAAGGTAGGAAATTTTTACTTCATTTTTTTTATCTCGTTATTCATCTTTAGATAACTTAACAATATAAAATAATAATTTACTTTAATTATTAAATAAAAAATAATAATGATGAATTCTTATTCTGTAATTCATCCCGTTCAATTTATATTTCCGAAGTCCTGTATCCGTTTCCATTAAATAATTGATTCATGTATATGTTTGGTAAGAACCATAATATTTTAACCACCATCATAAAAACAAAAAAACATTGTTTCTTGTTGTTAACGTTTCATATTCGTTCCTTACATGAATCATGTCAACCATACATGGGTACATGAGGTCATGTTCTCATGAATTATTTTGTTGATAGTTTTTAAATATCAAATAAGGATAAAGGTGATATTTTTCTATTTATATTTCCAATTATGTCAAATATATGGACGAGAGATCGAGTGAAATTAAAATATGAGAAAGCAACATTTTTGGAAATGGAATTTGGAAAGCAACCTTAACAGTCATTTGAGATATTTACTAAGAGTTACATCAATTCCTAAATGCATTGGATATTTCCATCTCTTTATCTAGGCAAATCTATACTTATTTTATTAAGAAGTATTCAGTATTTATATTTATTCTAAAACATAAAATATTTTCATATAGCAAATAATTTCATTTTACATTTTTTTTATTTCCATAAAAAATCTCATACACACATTAAAAAAGTATGCCCTTACTTCACCATAAGAATATTTATTTTGGCACTCACATTTTTAATTTTAAATACAGACTTAAAATTCAAAATCTCAGCTATTATTAGGAAATGTCTTTATTTGGATGTACGCATATATTTAGAGGTTGAAGTGAAGAACTATTCCCCAATGATCTCAATATGATAAATTGGAATATTATTAATAGATTTTGATACTTATTATAGTTTGTTATTTGGTTTATTATAATTTATCATGTTTGACATTGTATAATCTGTATATTTTCGCAATTTTGATAGTAGCAATTCTTTAAAAACATTAAAGACATTTTTTTATAGATATTATAAGAGGCATTCATTGTTTCGATCAGATTAAAATAAGTATAAATAAAAAAACTATTAATCATAAAACATTTAAGGACTGAAATTAAAAAAATAAAAAATGGGAATGAACAAAGGTAAAATTGGGATATCACCTATTCCATTAAATTTCTGGATACCTTGCTAATAAAATAAACTAAAATAAAATATCTATGTAAAATCACAACAAATCTAAGTTGGATTCAGATCAAGAGATTACTTTATTAGAATTTTAGTTTTTATTGCTTTTTATCAATAATTTTAATTACGAGAATATCACTTCAATTTCACTTTATTCTCAATATTTATATATAAAAGAAAACTGATAAAAACACCGTTTTTATACTTTTTTTTCAAATGGGATTAAAAGGACAGTCAAAACTAATAATAAATTTTTTTCTAAATTCAACTGGGTTTTGAACTTTTTTAGGTTTTTAATTTTCATTTTTAAAATAATAATATAATTAAATATAAGTATTATTATTCATAAAAATAAAATAGTTTTATTACAATTTGTTAATATTTTAATTATGGAAGAAAATAAAACTAATTTTAATTATGGAAGAAAATAAAACTATGTAATGTTAGCATCAATTTTGACATTAATATTGTAATGGACAAAATGGTAAAATGCTTGATTATTAATGAATCGGTTTTATTATGAATTATAAAACTATGAATTTAGAAATCATAATATTAATATTAAATCATTTAGCTATCAAAAATTGACCAGCTATAAGTATTATTATATTAATTATTATTATTATTATTACTAACAACTTTGTAAACATTAAAATCTACCCCCTCTATAATTTATTATAAGAACAAATGTGACATGTATAATTCTTAATTTAGAGTTATTCATTTAATATGAATTAAATTTATTGTAAAATATTTATCTACGTATATTATAATAGATTTCAATTCATAATTACAGTATAAAAGTAATATATAATAAAAGATTATTATAATAATTTGTTTAGAAGACTTAAATATTAATAAACATTATTTCAATTGATAGCTTTTAAATATTTAAAATTTAATTAATTTTAATATTTAATTATATTATAATATATAAAATTTATTTAATTTTTAAAAATATGCATTTATACATTCATAAACATATAAAAAACAATTTAAACCCAATTCAAGATTTGGTTTCTAACAAAATTCCAAATTTTTTTATTTACAAAATAGACAATTTTAATCTCTAGACTTCAATGTGAGAAACCACGTTCTGAAATAATATAATAAATACGTCTACTTTTATAAGTATTTTAGTTTAAATGGATTTGTTTTTTTTTTTTCAATATTCGGGTTATTTAAGAAAACAATTTATCATGAAGATAAAATTCAACACTATTAATGTTTTCAAAATTCCTATGAGATGATATCATGAAAGATTAAAATAAAATAAACTATATATTTACAATATCTAAATAAAATATGGATTTTTTGGAATTAAAATACAAAAAATTTATAAGAGTTAAATATATATATATATATATATATATATATATATATATATATATTTATTATACATGATCGAATATAAAAGTGAGATATTTAAATAAATTTAAATGATACACTAAATTTAATTAATCATTATTGGACATTTTAGAACTTTAGCTGATTCTAATGATTTGTTTGAAAATTTTAAATTAAACTTTTTAACAATAATATAATCTAACATTTTTCATTTTATTCAACTAGAATAATGTCTGTTATTATAAGAAATCATAATAATTAAATAATTATAATATTTTTTTTACTTTAATTTGTTCATATTATTAATCTTTATTAATGTCAACTTTTAATGATTGAATATAAAAGTATTAAATTTGTAGATCGATCATTTTTTTTGTGTGTGTGTAAAACACTAATCTGTTACTATTTTCTCACTTTCAGCCGCTCATAGGTCAACTAGTCATCAATCCTTCTCTTTATAATTCCTTTAAGAAAGTGCATACTTATCTTCTAAAATATAATAACACAAATATTTGTTTTACTTTTGTCTACTATAATAATAAAAAAATCAAATTAAAATTAACATAACAACTAAAACAAAAACACACAATATAATATTATATTACGAAGAGTAAAAATTTGATTAACTCAATTAAAACCGGACATTTTCTAATGGAAATCAAAGGTGGCTGAATTAGAGACGTTCATGACTTTTGGTTTGGGAGGTGTAGTGGAGTTGAAGCAACCTTCAATTATGAATGAACCTACATAAATATATCTACCTCATTTTAATTTTTAATATAATCATATATTTGTGTGTATATATCACAAATACTTAATTTACTTCATAATTATATTTAAATATATAAAATTTATCTTTATTGTTATTATTATATTTTAAAACATATTTACTAATAAAAAATACATATAATATTAACTAAAAAAAATCATAAAATAAGTTAAAAATGTCTTTCTTATCATGAATTTTTAGTGTGCATACATCTACTCCACTTCCGTGTACATAGCTTACAAGATGACAGCAATGGTGCGATTTGGTTCTGTCTTTCCTAACCTGAAAATCGAAAGGTCCATGTTCAAACCAGTACACTAGCCACCAATGCAACTTCTGGAGGGACCCATTCCACCATTTCTTTCGCAACTTATAAACTCATATCATCAAACTCCTCTCATCCATTAATTACACTCATTATTTCTTGTTGGGGGCTACCATGCAAATAATAAATATTAGAATATTTTTTAATATAAATTGATACTATTTATTTAGAGATTTCATCAATGAAGATTACAATTTTTTATATTAACTTAGTAACGACAAAATTTGACGTAACTTGATGGAGAGGGATGAAAAATACACCGAAAACGAGAGGGACATAATTTAGAAAAAGAATTACAAAATAAATACGATGAATACATTTTTAAAAACAAAACAGAGGTTACGCATTTCTTTTAAAAGCTACACGTTAACAAAAAAACTTTACTAATTAAACTAGTTTGTTTTGCTTAAAGGATTTGCTAACTTAAAAATATTGCCAAATACAAATTTAATCATCGTTCTCCATGACCCCGCAATAATCCCTCTTGCTTTTATTTGGAATGGTTTTTTCTTTCTTACGCACTTTCTAATTATTAATCCCTGTCAAAACTCAAAACCAATCCGAGAGTGATTGGCAAGGAAGATGAAACAAATGTACGTGAACTTTCTAGGTATTTTGGGTGCCGTTTTATTTTTAATTCAAATGAGAATTTCTGTCGATAAATTAAAAAAAAATTCAGTTTTTCAATTAGAGAAAATATTAAAAACAGTAATTAAGTTTTATGAAAATGAAACTGTCGTAGCTGGCATCAAGCTGTACAGTATTTGCGGTGAAAAGATCAAAATCAAAATCGCTATGCGCGCTCTCTGTGACTCCATGGAAAAAGCAAACGAAACCGTTCAGTTCACGACCCCTTCATTGACCGCTTCCAACGAACCCTCACCTACGTCTTTGGGATCTACGTGATAGCGTCGATTCCCCATTTTTTTTTTGGTCCGTTTCGCACCTTTTTTTTAACGTACACCAAGCTATACTTTACGAGACAAAGTGAAAGATTCTAAAGCGCTTAACAAACACGTCTCTTCCAACCCCATCCAAAATAACAATAACACAAATTTACATGAGCCAAAGCTAAATTCATCAAGCTCGTACTGGCATGCACATTTTTAAGCAACGGAACTAGCTAGAACTAGAAAGAAAAAGTACTGGTGACAAAGAAAATGATAATAGTAAAAAGTATGAAATTAATGAAGAATTTGGGTTCCCTTATTTATTGGTTGAATAATAATGATGATTGGAATTTTCAGCAGGGGCTATGGGAAATGAAAATCAGGGGGTCGAGTTTGGACCTACAAACGGGGCAAAGAGGGTGCTTGGAGAGCCAGGTGTCGGCGCAATGGACATGGAAGCCATGGTTGCAACCGGGAACCAGTCTGGCCGGTTGCTCACCCTCGATCTCGTCCAGGCAGACGGCGCATTCAGTGCCCAAGACCAGTTCTTTGCCGGTGATTTTCGGAAGCTTCTCCAACTCCAAAGCGGAGAGACCCTTGTCAATGACCGGCTTCACCGGAAGCCCATCGCTGGGTGGTTGGTGTCGCGAGGTGGCATACCAAAGAAGGCACATGTAGACAACGAAAACCGCGCTCATGCCAAGGCAGGGCAAGAAAAGCGCGAGCAGAACCGAATCAAGCATTTTGCTTTCTTTGCTTTGGCCTTTGAATGAGTCACTCGAACCTTTGTCCGATTCCGAAAGATGATTTAACTAATGCGGTGGAGGGGGTTGGTAGAGGAGCACCCAAGGGATTGCGTATTCACGCCAAGTACCCAGCATATCGCAATTTCTTCACACAGGCCTATGCCCCTATTTCAAAAACAATAAAACAAAGATCCAATCAAAGATTTCGGTAATGGAGACGGAAGAAACAAAGGAATGAGTTATGGTTTAGTTTCACTGTAACGCACGATCTTTGGCTTTGTATTAACGATTGAGTGTGTGAATGAATGTGTGTATTTATACATGTATATGATGAGAAGGAGAAGGAGAAGGTGAAGAGTGAGAGTGAGAGTTATTATGGCAACCAACAAGATTTTTATTTCCAAACGGATGGGCGCTACCAGCTGTCTTTGAGTGAATATCTGTATCACGCCGTTACTTTCTTTCGAAGTATTTATTTATCATATACGAAATATTCTCCTCAACATTTAATAATTCCTCTGCTTACATATTCCACATTTATTATCTCATTATTTTTATTTATTCAATTTCAAATTAGTACTATAATAATAGATTCAATAAATATTGCTACTATTTTTCTCATGTGTTCTTCCATGAAACTAAATAAAAGGTTAAATTATATATCATATTTTCTACTATAATATCATCTTATGTTTCATATTTTTGTTGGTACATTTTTATATGTTTATATTTTAATGTTTAACGAAAAATATTATTGTTGCGAAATAAATTTAACGAATACTGCAATATAGTTTTCAAGGAGAGAATAGTGATATTATAGAAATTTGTATACACTTTTTTTTTAAGTTTACTTTCAAGGGAAGCCATTTTGGAGGTTTTTTTTTTCTTGGCTATTATTTCTAATATTTATCGTTCTATTTATATTTGAATAATTTTTAAAGGTTAACAATAGTTTAAAAATATATAGTATCACAATATAAGTTATGAGTATAAAACTATAATATAACTCGTATATTAAAAGATGGTTATGGTAAATGTTCACCAATAGGTCAAATGCTATCATTGTTGAATTGAAAACTTATTCTTAGGTAAAAAATATACAGTTGATGATCAAATTTTTCTTTGTTTTGTTTTACTTAATTAAATAACATTTTAGTGCTATAATATTTTTATTTATTTTACATGCTTAATTTTCCTCGTAAATAATGCACATCACAGTTTATTTATAATCTATAGTACATATAATTTTTTTTATGTATATTACTTAATATTTTTTTATCTTAATCTTTTATCTTGTTTTTCCTTGAAACTTTTTTTTTCATTTTTAAATTAATTAATCAAAATTATCATTTTTCTCTCTTATTAAACCACCCTTAATTATACGCGTTATCTTTCTTTTTAAAAGACATTCAATAACACGTTTTCTGAACAATTTGTGCAGGAGATACTCTAATACAATAAAAAAAAAAATAGGAATGCATGAGATGTGTATGTCTTCGTTAGTTATACATAGATAAAAAAAATTAAACCATTTTTTATTATATCGGAAAGAAAAATATAAATATTATAATTTTTAAAAAAATAATGAAAATATGAGAAAAAAATAAAATAAAATTAAAACACACTTATTTTTTTTAAAATATTGGTTTTGAAAAATATAAATTGGGATAAAGAATACGTAAGCAGAAAGCGAGAATAGGCGTACGTACGTGTGGGGTTGTTTACCAACGCAAACGAAGGAAAAGGAAGATTAGCATCTGATATTATTTGCTACCATATATTCATATTGAAACGAGGAGACAAGGTTAAAGCGGGGTCACCCAAGGACCTGTTTGGTCCCTCCTCAAAAAGAAACACCTTTCCTTTCTATCTCCAATTTAATTCCTCTTCCAAATCACATACATGCACGGTTAATGCCTCGTGCCATACACCACCAAACACACACAACATAAGGGCCCTTCAACTTGACCACACCACCGGAGGTTGCGCCTTTCAATTTCGGAGTTTCCTCATTCATTTATCCACGCTACAATTGAAGTAAATACTATTATATATATAATATTAAATGCACTTTCATTTAAGCATTCATTATTTATTTGAGAATTGAAATACTGTGCTTGAATTGAAACACTAGCTAGAGTGGAGCACAATTGACTGAATTTAAGAGGAGCGCATCTGAACCTTAGAATATGCTGTGTGAGTCAGTTAAGAGTCCATGTTTTTGAATTCACATCACTTTTTTTAATATATATATTCTTTTTCTAACATTTACAATTGTTAAAGAACGGCTGTTAAATAAATGGGTTGTGTATAGTAAATGAAATTAGTTACACATCAAGTATTCAAAGTTTGACTTCTTATTTTTTTTTTCCAAAAAATATGTTTAATTTTATTTATTGTTGATTAGAATTTGTTTTGAACCACGTTGTTATAAAAAAAACTTGAAGAGTCAGTTTGGTAACAAGAAAAAAAAATGAGGAAAAAAAACAAGAAAAGAAAAAATAAATAAAATTAAAAATATTTCATTTAAAAAAACATTAACAAAAATTTGAAAGTAAAAATATTTATTTGAAATTAAAAATATTTATTTGAAATAATACATAATTAAATTAAAATGAAATATTTATTTCAATTATATAATTATTTATATAATTTTTAATTTTTTTATTAATAAAATAACTTTTTAAATTAATAGTTTTAAATTAATATATTATTCATTTAATTTTTATCATAATTTATCTGACATTTTATTCAAATAACAATTATAATTTTATATATAATTTTTAAAATTATAAAAATAAAAATAATATTAAAAATAATTAAAAATAATATATTTTTATACTTTTCATTCTTTCGTCATTTGAAAAAAATGTTATTTTCATTCCTTTTTCTTGTACTGATTACCTTTCACTCTCCATTTTACTTACAAACCAATAGAGCTAAAAGATTATTAAATAGTTTATTTTGTATTTTTTTTTTAAGTTTTTGAAAATCACATTTATATTATTTTGATATATTTAATTTGATATCTATCTTTATATCGATATTTTATTCAATTATTTGTTTGTTTGTTAAATTTATACGTTATTGAAATTAAAATACAATTAAAATTCATTTCATAAGCAAGATTTTCATTATTTTTTTCCACAATAAAATTTGAAAATAAACGAGGATATATCTAAAGTTTTTAAACTGGAAGCACATTCATTTCATCTTTTGTAAGCATAAAAAACTATGTTTGTCCTTATTATATTGGCATTACTAACTTTTGTTTTTTGTTTTCTAGTAAAGGGACCAATAGGTTATAGAGAGGGAACTGATAACAATCAGGTTTTAGAGTATTTTTGCTAAAAATAAGTGGGAGATAAATAATAAATATGTGAATTCACAACTTTTTATTTATAGAAAAAATTAAATAGTAACTCTCTTATAACAGGAAAATATTTTTCTAATAATATACTTTAGTTTTTCTCTAATTTTCCCTTCTTGTCATTAAACATAAATAAATGGGAGAAAGGAAGTGAGTGTAATTCATTAAGTTCATTGTCATTTTGTTAAGAAGAAAGATACGATAAATCCATGGAATGTACCTCATAGTCAATCAGAAACAAACATACGATGATATGACATATATATATCAATTAAGATTTTTTTAGGTCATCTCCAATGACATATTTCTCTCTTTCTCTATATATACACATTACTTTCTTTATTTTTTAAAACGTTTTCATAAGTGCTTTCAATCTTGAAACCAAAATATGTTTCTTTAAATGTTGACATTCAATAAAAATATTTTCCACAAATACAACAGCTCATATGCACATTTAACCTTTTTTTTTACAATTATTTAAGCATCTCAGGTACATTTTTTATTTTTAATTTAATGCAATTTTCAAGCACTGTCACATACTAGAGACACATCATGGTTGACTGATATTCCCACTAGTTCCGGAACATATGATTTAAATCCTTTTACAAATTCTAAGATTCGCTAAGTGCGTCTTTGGGAATATGTTTGATGAATTGATTTTGAAACAACAATGATTTTATGATTAATTTTACGTAAAAATGAATGTCTGGTAACAACTACTGTGCTTGTTACAAATAAGTTGATGTTAATGCACACTGTTCTTTAAAAAGCTAACAATCGAGATTAATTTGAAGTATACAATTATTAAAACGAATCTTAATGTAGTTGAATTTCAATCTGAGTTCTCTACTGTCTTGTATAAATTTTATAAATTATATTAACACAATTGCATGATTTTTGTTGTATCCTTTCTCTTCCCACCCACACGGTAAATAAGTGAAAATTATTTAAAGATTTGAAGACCATGTGATTATAATTAATATGACTTTGGACATTACAAATAATAAATAAACAAATTTTTTTCTTACAAAAATAAACAATTAAAATTAAAGTAATAAATACTCTAAATATGTTCATATACATAAAATTATGCATATAATCACATTAGCATTTGTATTCCTTTTATTTTATCATTACACACACACACACACACTATATATATATATATATATATATATATATATATATATATATATATATATATATATATATATTATTGGACAAATAAATTTGTTATTATAAAACATTTGCTTCACTATCCAATTTTTTTAGTAATATTATATATTATTCTTATTTATTAAACAAAAAAAATTTTAAATATAAACAAATTTTAACTATTTCTACTTTATTTAATAATATTTTTTTCAAATATTCTACCTTTAACTAATCTTTGATTACATCGTCTGTGTATATAGATAAATAAATAGAAAAAGGGAAAATAAATAAATGCTCTAACTTTAATTAATTTTTTATTACATCATTATGATATATATATATATATATATATATATATATATATATATATATATATATATATATATATATATATATATATAGGTAGATAGAAAAAATATAAAATTAAAAAAAAGACTAAGTATATTATTTTTTTATAATTTCTTTAATAACTTTTTTATAAATATTGTTGTAATTAATATATATATATATATATATATATATATATATATATATATATATATATATATATATATATATATATATATATATATATATATATATATATATAAAAGGAGTTAGTACCTTGACCAATTCCAATGGTGGTTTCCTCCATTTTCTGCCACTCCTTTTTCGTCAATTCAGTCAATCACTCATCGAAAATCCGTGTGTTTATTTCATTGATTGGGCTACTTGCTGTCCAGAACTGTTTACTATGGTCTCATATTTTTCTTCTTGCAACTTTTGGCAGACCATAATCCGGCCACATTCAATGTACCTCTTCCATGTTAAAGTCATTCCCCAAATTGGAGAATTATTGGACACCATATCATTTAATAATGATTTTACTCTACTAATTCCTTTATATTTATCAAGTCAAATCATATTATCGAAAACAATAGTTAAATTAATTGAAAATAGTAAATCAATCAGTTCTTTATAATTTTTTACCCATTTTTTATTATATTTAAAGTAAATAAGATTTTAATATTCTTAAGTATTTATATTTTTTGAATTAGAATAAGAGAGGGAAAATTTTATTTATTCATTTTAAATATTGATTATTCTCTTTCTAAAAATATGTCAATTAATTAAGGATAATTAACTGATTTCTTCAACATGTATGAAGTTATTTTTCTTATAAACGAGATAGATTAAATTTAAACTTGTTATTCATTGTGATAAATTATAAATCGTAAATAAATAAATAAATAATTTGGAGATTTTATGAAAAGTGAAATTGTAATGCATCAAATCATTTTTTACCTTGTAGCCCAAATTGACAAATTTTCACATTGTAAGTGCTATGTTGTACTTAGGTCAAGGTTGTCCTTTTCCTCCAGCGCTTACTTGGGTGTGGATTGGTAAGTACATGTAATAATAACGGGGCTTGGTTTCGTTGGTTGGTTCATTGACTTGTTAAGAGTGAGAGTGAAGATGGTGCGGACGACACTGCAATTGGTGGCGTTTCAGGTTTTGGTTATCCTGATGAGTGTTGGCGCCGATTACATACCGCCTTCAAGATTTGATGGATTCGTCTACGGAAAAGGGTCGTTGAATTTGTTGGATACAGTTTTGATCGAAGCGTTTTATGATCCAGTGTGTCCAGACAGCAGGGATTCATGGCCCCCACTCAAACAAGCTCTTCATCACTACGGTTCTAAGGTTTCACTCCTTCTTCACCTACTCCCTCTACCGTAAGTCACACCCAATGCTTTCTCATCTCCCTTTAATTTTTTATATTATTTTTTCCTTTTAGGATTTGACTTTTCTTCAATTGCCTAATAACTTGTGGTGGCTACTCGTCTTAGATTTCATCATGAATTGTGTTGAAATTCAGCAAAGATAAAAAAAGCGCGTTCTAGGTTGTTTTTTTTTTAACATTATTTGTGCACTGACCTAAATTATCCTTCTTTGTGTGTGTCTTATTTCGGAAAATCGCAGTTACCACGACAATGCTTTTGTAACGTCTCGTGCTTTGCACATCGTGAACAATTTGAACGCATCTGCGACTTTCCCCTTGCTGGAGTGGTTCTTTAAGCATCAGGTTTGTATGTGCAGTTTCAAAAACAATTTGTATTATCTGATGTATGCATTGGTTGAAGATCTTTTCATATTTACTTAAAAGCTTTGGCATTTGGCCATTGTGATTTGGGATTGGTTGAGATAGGTGTTTTCCATTTTCGTAATGCTTTTGTTCCACATAGGTATCTTTCCTTCTGAGACAATCCTGTTCGATTCGAACAATAAATGTAGATATCTGTTTTAGATTCAAACCTTATCTCGTAACATTACAAGAGAGTAGTCCTTTCGTTATACTCAAATCCTATTGGTCAAATATCGCACTATTAATGACATTCATATTTCTTCTATTCTATGTATTCAAAACGGAATTTTCCCAGTCATTGAAAACTGGCCGTTGGGAAAAATATGATGAATCTTCCTATATGGTCATATATGGTCAGATATGTGAAAGTGAAATAAAAGCGGAATAATTGCACACACCAATTGATAACGGAGTTCGGCCAATAATGTCTACGTCTCCGGACTACTGCAGATCTCTTAGTAGGAGAAAAGAAAAATACACAAGTGTTTACAAAACACTCTAAAAAACACTCACAACTCACAACCCAATTACACCCAGAAGCTAAACTAAAACTCTCTAGTTTTTCTGCCTCTTGCTGGTGCCACTCTTTCTTCTCTAAGAGAAGTAATATTTTTGTGTGGGACGAAATACTTATGCTTGCAGGAAGAAGACCAATTTATAGCAAAAATTGGTACTGTGCATTACCATAAAATATGTCTCGTGGGTACCTCATGCTTGAATAAAAAATTGGCAGCCACCCTTTTCTTCCGTGCTTTCGGTGCAAATGAGAAAGTTGGTTGCCCACTTTCTTTGACCAACAATCTCCCACTTGAGGACCGATTTCAATTTGTCCTCACACCTTGATCAATAGTAGTCTTCTCTTGTCTGTTATTCTTGTAAACTAACTGAAGTTGAGCACAACTTCCGTTTGTCAATAGTCACCACCTTTGTTAGCATATCTGCTGAGTTCTTGCTTCCCACAATTTTCTTTAATGTTAGCATCTCATCCTCAAATAGAGATCTAATGAAATGATAACGTATGTCGATGTGTTTGGTCTTGGAGTGAAATGCTGAATTTTTTGCCAGATGTATTGCACTCTGACTATCACTGTGCAAAACACTCCTTTCTTGAATGAATCCCAACTCGCCAACAATCCTTGAAGCCATATCAATTCTTTGTCGGCTTCATCATCGCTACATACTCAGCCTACGTAGTGGATAAAGCAACAATCTTCCGTATCCACGACATCCAACTAACAACTGTAGTTCCAACAGTGAACATATACCCGGTGGTGCTTCTTCGGTGATCAACTTCACCTCCAAAGTTTGCATCTACGTAGCCTCGCAATTTTAGATCTCCTTTTCTAAAATACGGACATTTTTCTCGTTGTGCCTCGTAGATACCTCGGAATCCATTTGACTCGCTTCCCAATGAGCTTTTCCTGGATTTGACATGAATCTCGCTTACAACTCCCACCGCATGGCCAATGTCCGGCCTCGTACGGACCATCGCGTACATCAAACTTCCAATGGCTGAAGCATACGGAATCTTAGCCATTAACTCTTCTTCTTCCTTCGTTTGAGGAGACCGATCCTTGGATAGACGAAAATGGCAAGCCAAAGGTGTATTGACTCGGTTTGGCATTGTCCATGTTGAATCTCTCGCAAAACACGGTTGATGTACTCCGCTTGAGATAACTCGCAAAACTCCTTTTTGCTTATCTCTCGTGATTTGCATTCCAAGAATCTTCTTTGTCGGGCCTAAGTCCTTCATGTCAAATTCTTTTGACAACTCGCTTCTTTAAGTTTATGATCTCATTCATATCCGAACCTCGCTACTAGCATATCATCAACATGAAGTAGCAAAATGATATAACTGGACTTATACCTCTTAAAGAAACAATGGTGATCGCCGTTGCACTTCGGAAACTCTCCTTGTGCATGAAGCTTTCGAACTTCTTATACCACTCGTCTTGGAGCTTGTTTCGTGCCATACGAGCTCTTCTTCAATCTCGCACACCAAGTTCTTCTTTCTTTCCGAAAAACCTTCAGTCCGTTGCATGTAGATCTCCTCATCTAAATCTCCATGAAGAAATGCGGTCTTCACATCTAATTGCTCTAGATAGAGCTCCTCACTAGCCACAATACTTAACACAGATCCCGATAGTATTGAGCTTTACAACCGGAGCAAAGATTTCGGTGTAGTCGACTCCTTCTTTCGCTGAAATCCTTTGACGACTAGTCGAGCTTTGTATCTCTTAGAACCATCATGGTCTTCCTTCACTCGATACACCCATTTGTTGTGAAGTGTTTTCTTTCCCATAGGTAACTTGACTAGTTCCCATGTCTGATTTGAGATCAAAGACTTCATCTCGTCTTTCATGGCAAGCTCCCACTTGCTAGCATCCATGGCTTGACAAGCTTCCGTATAATCTTCAGTGCTCCCTCCATCGATCAACAACATGTAGTCCATGTATCTCCCGTTAGGCACATGAGGCCGAGAAGACCTTCTCAATACAGGAGTTGGAGTAGGAGGTTCCGCTTGCACATCAGGTTCTTCAACCGATTCCTCCGGTCGAGGACTCTTCATTATAGGACTTTCTCGGGATATCTTTCACTTCTGCATAAACCGGTCCACTCGCTTCGAGTTGCTGGCACCTGTATTATGTCCGTCCTTGTACATCACTCTTTCATTGAAGGTTACGTCTCTCGTCGCGGATCATATTTTTGTTTTCATCGTCCCATATGCGGTAGCCAAACTCATCTTCACCATAACCAAGGAAAGTACATTTCTTTGATTTTGGATCAAGTTTGTTTCGCCTTGATCACCGATATGCGCATATGCTACACGACCAAAAACTCTAAGATGTGAGAGTTTTACCTCTTTTCCGCTCCATACCTCTTTTGGTATCTTGTGCTCCAATGGTACCGATGGACTTCGGTTGATCAAGTAAGCCGTTGTGTTGATCGCTTCGCCCAAAACCGCTTTGGTAAGCTCGATCGCACACGCATGCTTCGGCCCTTTCGATCAACGTTCGATTCATACGCTCGCCTACACCATTGTGTTGAGGCGTACCGGCATGGTTCTCTCCATTCCGATTCCGTGCTCATAACAAAACTTCTTGAATCTCGGTGTCTACATATTCACCACCATTGTCGGATCTCGAGCTTCTTGATCTTCAATCCTCGTCTCATTTTCCACCATAGCTTTCCAAATCTTGAAAGCTTCAAATACTTCGACTTATATTTCGTAAAGTAAACCCATACCTTTCTCGGAATGATCATCAATGAAAGTCACGAAGTAATGCTTCCCACCAACGGATGGGACGAGTCGTTGGACCCCAAACATCGAGTGGATGAACTCAAGCTTCTCTTTCTTTGGGGTTCTTTTACTTGTCCGAAAGCCGACTCTCTTCTCGCTTTCCAAGTATGCGATCTTCACACATGTCAATATCTACCGATCGAAGACCTGGTAATTTTCCTCTCGAGTGCATGACCTTCATTCCTTTCTCACTCATATGTCCAAGTCTTTGGTGCCATATGTTGGAATTTTCATTTGTCTGCAACCGCAATCAAATGACATGCTCCCGTAGTCTTGTAGAGAGTTCCACTCTTTTTGCCTCGAGCAATCGTCATCGCACCTTTTGAGATCTTCCATTCATCACCGTGGAAGATTGTCGTATAGCCTTCACTAGCTAACCGACCTACCGAGATTAAGCTCTTTGTCAAGTTGGGAATATGTCCGACATTTTTCAATTCCCATACGAGACCCATTCAGCCTTAATCCTTACCGCACCTTTGCCTACAATCTCACATGACTGTTCATTACCAAGGTAAACCTTACCAAGGTTTCCGGAACATAATTCTCCAACCGTTCCTTCGTGAGGTAGCATGAAAAGATGCTCCGAGTCTAACACCCAAGACTCCTCCCCGCCTTCAAGAGAGCATATCAACGCCTCATCTTTTCCCGAGGTGGAGACAACGTTTGCTTCGTCCTTTGCTCCTTGATTCTTCCGTGCATTCTTGCACCGGTTTTCGAAGTGTCCGGTCTTCCCACAATTCCAACATTCGATCGACTTTGAGTTGTGGGAACTACGATGATTTCCGGACTTGGACCGCCTCGTCCTTTGATTTTCCATGTCTAATTTCTTTGGTTGAACTTCTTCCTCTTGACTCTGTATGCAATAATGAAGAGGTTGATGCTTCACCCGACTCTCTCCGCCGGATCTCTTCGCTGAGAACCAAAGTTTGAACATCATTAAATCTTAACTTATTGTTTCCCGATGAGCTACTCACAGCTGTGACCGTAGCATTCCAACTCTCCGGTAGGGAAGACAAAAGTATTAAAGCGTGTACTTCATCATCGAATTTGATGTCAATAGAACTCAACCGGGTTGTTACGGTGTTGAGTTCATTGAGATGATTTGCCACCGAAGCACCTTCGGACATCCGCGAGTTGAACAATCGCCTCATCAAGTGAACTTTGTTTGAGGCCGATGGTTTCTCGTACATGTTGGAAAGAGCCTTCATGAGATCTCGAGGTCGTCTTTTCTTTCGCAATGTTAAAAGCAACATTACGAGATAATGTTAGACGAATAACTCCAAGAGCCTCGTCTATCAAGGAGACTCCATTCTTCCTCTTTCATGGTTTCCGGCTTTTCCCCGTGAGTGGTTGATGCATCTTCTTCCGATACGGATAATCCTCTATCTCGCATCTTCCGAAGCCAAAGTCCGTACCGTCGAACCTTTCAATTTTCATTTTTCCTTCGTCTGCAGCCCATCACTCCAACTCGATCCGACTTATCTCGCTGGATCGTTTCGACAATTCCTGTGAGCTACCGTGTTTCGTAACACGATCGCGGCAAATTTGTAAGCGCCGACAAAATTTGCACTATTCACGTTTTCACTATTCACGAAATAGTAACTTACTATTCATATGAATAGTAACACCACAAAAATTACGTAACTAACAACCAGACTCCGATACCAGCTTGTTGGGAAAAATATGCTCGAATCTTCCCATATGGTCGGATTTGTGAAAGTGAAATAAAAGCGGAATAATTGCACATACCAATTGATAACGGAGTTCGGCCAATAATGCCTACGTCTCCGACTACTGCAGATCTCTTAGTAGGAGAAAAGAAAAATACACAAGTGTTTACAAAACACTCTCAAAAACACTCACAACTCACAACCCAATTACACCCGAAGCTAAACTAAAACTCTCTAGTTTTTCTCGCTCTCATCGGTGCCACTCTTTCTTCTCTAAGAGAAGTAATATTTTTGTGTGGGATGGAATGCTTATGCTTGCAGGAAGAAGACCAATTTATAGCAAAAATTGGTACTGTGCATTACCATAAAATATGTCTCGTGGGTACCTCATGCTTGAATAAAAAATTGGCAGCCACCCTTTTCTTCCGTGCTTTCGGTGCAAATGAGAAAGTTGGTTGCCCACTTTCTTTGACCAACAATTGTGTATTTTTCTTTTCTCCTACTAAGAGATCTGCAGTAGTCCGGAGACGTAGGCATTATTGGCCGAACTCCGTTATCAATTGGTATGTGCAATTATTCCACTTTTATTTCACTTTCACAGATCTGACCATATGAGAAGATTCAACATATTTTTCCCAACAACGTTGGTCAAAGAAAGTGGGCAACCAACTTTCTCATTTGCACCGAAAGCACGGAAGAAAAGGGTGGCTACCAATTTTTTATTCAAGCATGAGGTACCCACGAGACATATTTTATGGTAATGCACAATACCAATTTTTGCTATAAATTGGTCTTCTTCCTGCAAGCATAAGCATTCCATCCCACACAAAAATATTACATCTCTTAGAGAAGAAAGAGTGACACCAGCGAGAGGCAGAAAAACTAGAGAGTTTTAGTTTAGTTTCTGGGTGTAATTGGGTTGTGAGTTGTGAGTGTTTTTGAGAGTGTTTTGTAAACACTTGTGTATTTTTCTTTTCTCCTACTAAGAGATCTGCAGTAGTCCGGAAACGTAGGCATTATTGGCCGAACTCCGTTATCAATTGGTGTGTGCAATTATTCCGCTTTTATTTCACTTTCACAGATCTGACCAAACACATCGACATACGTTATCATTTCATCATATCTCTACTTGAGGATGAGATGCTAACATTAAAGAAAATTGTGGGAAGCAAGAACCCAGCAGATATGCTAACAAAGGTGGTGAATATTGACAAACTGAAGTTGTGCTCAACTTCAGTTAGTTTACAAGAATAACAGACAAGAGAAGACTACTATTGATCAAGGTGTGAGGACAGATTGAAATCGGTCCTCAAGTGGGAGATTGTTGGTCAAAGAAAGTGGGCAACCAACTTTCTCATTTGCACCGAAAGCACGGAAGAAAAGGGTGGCTGCCAATTTTTTATTCAAGCATGAGGTACCCACGAAACATATTTTATGGTAATGCACAGTACCAATTTTTGCTATAAATTGGTCTTTTTCATGCAAGCATAAGCATTCCATCCCACACAAAAATATTACTTCTCTTAGAGAAGAAAGAGTGGCACCAGCGAGAGGCAGAAAAACTAGAGAGTTTTAGTTTAGCTTCTGGGTGTAATTGGATTGTGAGTTGTGAGTGTTTTTGAGAGTGTTTTGTAAACACTTGTGTATTTTTCTCTTCACCTACTAAGAGATCTGCAGTAGTCCGGAGATGTAGGCATTATTGGCCGAACTCCGTTATCAATTGGTGTGTGCAATTATTCCGCTTTTATTTCACTTTCACATATCTGACCATATGGGAAGATTCAGCATATTTTTGCCAACAACAATCCTTAAATTTTAACTCCACTGTTTTTATTTGTTCCAAACAATAACATGGAAATTACTTCTTGTATTGAATTCCCTTCTCTTTGGTGTCTTTTTGCTTGTTCTGTTTCAATTATAGCCGTACCTACTGATCCTGATCAAATGGTGATTGAGTGTAGCACCTGATTCTTGGGAAGATTCTGGTGGATTCGCTCAATGAAAGTTATTTGTTGAATTAGTAAGATGTGATAATACAAATCATATCTGTCATCACTGTTGAAGGAACAGCAATATAGCTACACGTAAAGTTATATCATCTGGCTTAAAATTGTTTACATTGATGCCTCTGTGCGTTGTATGTTCCGTGCTATGCATAAGACATTAAATGCATTTGCATCTTGGATGCAATATTTTCAGATAAGAAGTTATTCAAGTTTTTTATTCAATGAAGCTGGTGCATACTCTTTAACAGGAAAAATTCTATGGAGCTCAAACAAGGAACTTGTCTAGGGATTATGTTGTGGAGGAGGTAGTGAAGTCTGCAACACAAGTAGTTGGGAGCTCTTATTATAATGCTATAAAGAATGGCTTCAATGACACAAATACTGATTATCAGACCAGAGTTTCTTTTAAGGTAAAGCAAACTCTTTTATCTTAGTTTTCGTTCACATTCATTCCACTTATTGGAAGATATTTGGATTGAAATTTTGATCTTAAAACTAATATTTTCATATGTTGAATGAAACGTGAGAATATAGGACCCATCCCCTTCAATCAAATACATGTCTGTTGTTTAAGTTTCTTTGAAAATGCAGTATGCTGCTTCGAGAGGGGTGTATGGAACGCCTTTTTTCTATGTCAATGGATTCTTGTTGCCTGATGCCGGTGGTGCAGTTGATTACAAGGCTTGGAGGAAGGTGATTGACCCATTGGTTGGTTCTAAGAAGAGTAAACAAAATGAAGAGAACCTTCATTTCTTCTTGTGAAAACTGTATGCACATAAAGTCCAGTTGCATTAGCACGACATCAGTGAAGGATTCTAAAGAATGTGTCTGCTGACTTATTATAACATGTGCTAGTGCCAAGAATGCAATAATGGAATAAAATATTCCTTAGCCTGTGTCTTTATTTGTTAAATGAAACTTTTTAATCTTTACACAGTTTTTTATGTGGTTGAAAGCTATAAATGATGATCGATATATCAAATGTGAAGGTGGAAATACTTTAATACTAGATTTCAATAGCACGGATTGAATCAAATCATGTTTTTTTTTGTCTTTAAACAAAAAATATATGTATATAAATAGAATTTAAATTTAGCAGCATATTAAATTAATTATTTTAAATTTTAATAAACATGATAACTACATTTTATATTTTATGTTGGTTCGTTATTTCTTATTTTATGAGAATTGGAAAAACTATATTATTAATAATTTTAGTTAGAAATAAAAAGATATTTAATCTAATCCTATAAAATTAGTTTGTAATGTGAGATTTATATTTTAATTATATATTAATATTTTTATATTGTTATCAATTTTTTATTTTATATATAAAACTATTATTAACAATAAATATTGAAAATTATTATTAAATTTTCAATTTAAGTCTGATACACATATTTTATTTTAATTTTACATATATTGTTAATGTTAAAATTTTACAAATTTATATATTTTTTTTAATTTTAATATTTTAAAGTGATGATGATATTATATATTTTTAGTTTGTATATTAATATTAATTTGACTTCACTTAGACCCGACTATACCATTAGTTCACTAACATTATTGTGTACTTCATTCTAATGGAAAATGTAAGTTTTTTTTTCTGATTAAAAAAAATACTATATTATTCGCATTAAATCATTAAATACAGTAAATGACTATATTTTAATAAAATTAGTACATTACTCTGTTTTTTTTAAAATACAAATATTTTTTACCAATAAAATATATTTTAATTATTTTGTAAATTATCAAAATATGAAATTTCAATATTTTCAATTACGTGAAAAAAAATTGTTGTACAAAAACCCATTAAAAGTTTGCTTAAGTGGAGTACATTAACTCGACTTGTGTTACAACAGGTGAAGTGAGTGAGGGGATTGTAGATAAAATTAATGTTTCAGTTTACTTTTTCCAGATAAAATATAATATCATAAAAATAAATGAGTAAGAAGATTTTTCTCTACCGAGAGAATATATTGGGTCTAGTAACTTGTTTTCGGAGGATCCGAATCGTGGCCCGTGGCTTGACTAGGCCCATACACCAAAGGCCCGTTTGATGTTCACAAGTTTGAGTAACAGGTGATGAGTGCTGTCTGTGGAGACATGTGCCAACTGTGCGACCATATTGCTTCTCCTTTGGTCTTCTTCACCCTTTTTTCACCGTGTTAGGGTTTGCATCAGATTCCCCCAATTTGCGCTTTTGTGAGTGCTTTCACTAGATATTTTTCAACATGACTCAAGATCTCGAGATGAAGGATCGCTCAACGCCTTCCAACTCCGCTTCTGCACCTGCTCCATCTACTTTACAGCGTAAGCAATATTTCTCTAACAACTTCATCTGTTCCGATATCGCAATTCCATAAAACCATTTCAGCTTTTCATTTTTTTTTCTTTGGGTTTTGTACTGGCAGATTTGAAGGAGATAGCGTCGCTTATCGAGACTGGTTCGTACTCGAAGGAAGTTCGTAGAATTGCTCGTGCCGTTCGCCTTACAATTGCGTTGAGGCGTAAATTGACAGCGTCGGTTATCTCGTCTTTTCTTGATCATGTTCTCTCTCCTGGTTCTGAAGCTCACGCCAAATTGTCTACGTATCTTCCCAAGGTGAACTTCTTTGTTAGATTCAAGGGTTGTTCCTGTTGATTAGGTCTTAGATATTTTGTTTCTATTATCCTAATTTGAAATACGAAGTGGACGATTATTTGTAGTCATTTATGCTTCATTTAACACAAAATCTAAATTATGGGGTAGATGAAATTGGTTATTCCCCTAAGAAGAAGCATCTGTTTCTGTAGTTATTTGGTTGAAAAATTTGCATAATTTAACTTCTGTGTAAATAGGAACTGAATTAAGGCCAATGCGTGCATTTCAATGCTGTTTGGAGTCATGGTTTTGTCACTTATTGTGTAGGAGGATGATCATGAGATGGAAGTGGATGCGGCAACCTCTGCAATTCAAACCCCAGCTAAGCACCTGTTGCCCGAGCTAGAAATCTACTGTTACCTGCTTGTACTACTTTTTCTGATAGATCAAAAAAGATACAATGAGGTCAGTCCCCCTCCTTCAGCTCTGCGAATTTACAAGTGAAACTTATTATATATTAATGTTTCTTGTACTTTTTAGGCCAAAGCCTGTTCCTCAGCTAGCATTGTTTGGCTGAAGAACACAAACAGGAGAACTGTTGATGTTATTGCATCCAGATTGTATTTTTACTATTCGTATAGCTATGAGCTTACTGGAGATCTTGCTGAAATCCGTGGGTGAGTTAGGTGCTAATCTATTTAATACTCGAAGAAGGAGTTTGAAGACTGAAATATATTTTTAAGTAATTTTTAATTTTGGAATTTGTTTTCAGCAACCTCCTTGCATTGCACCGAATTGCCACTCTGCGCCATGATGAGTTGGGCCAGGTTTGTTTCCATTTGAGCTTTTTTACAGAAGGGCTTATGATCCTTGTTAGAATCCAGCACTTATTTTTACAACAAACTCAACCTAGCACATGGTTGATTGCTATTATAGATTCTCAATTAATATGAACGGTGATTTGTGAATAACTAGTATCAGTACCGAGGACTCTGATAAAAATCATATTTATATTTATATAATAATAGAAAATTTATATATTGGAATGGTAATTGAACTTTGAGTAGTAAAGAATTTGCATAATATGCATAATTAATATGCACAGTGATTTCTAAGTAATTATAGCTTCTTCTTTTTTTCTAAAATATTATATAGTATGTAGTTGTGTAAATAAAATGAATATCCCCCTTTATAGACTGATCATTCACCCGATTCGTACTAATTGTTTATTTTTGACTTAATCCGTTGTCTGTTGAATCGTTGCAGGAAACACTTCTTAACCTCTTACTTCGTAACTACCTTCACTACAATCTGTATGATCAGGCTGAGAAATTGAGGTCCAAGGCTCCTCGATTCGAAGCGCATTCAAACCAGCAGGTATGGTAGATATGCTATCCTGAGCACCTAACTTTTTCTTAATTTGGGTAAACAATCTCTGTCTTTTATTCCGGCTAGTGCTCATCGATGCTGTGTTAAAGTCCTTGTGGAGTTCCTCAAAAATTGTGTTATTGATATTTATCTAGTGTAATTTATTGTTGTTAATTATTTAAAATTCCCTTTTTGATTTATATTATTTTCACTTGTCCATTTTTGTGGCATTTCCATTCAGTTTTGTCGTTACCTCTTCTACCTTGGGAAAATTCGGACAATTCAGTTAGAGTATACAGATGCAAAAGAGTCCCTGCTGCAGGCTGCCCGGAAAGCACCAGTTGCTGCACGGGGTTTTCGAATTCAATGTAACAAGTGGGCTGTGATAGTGCGTTTACTGTTGGGAGAAATACCTGAGCGGACTGTCTTTATGCAGAAAGGAATGGAAAAGGCTTTGAGGCCTTACTTTGAGCTTACAAATGTAAGTCCACACTTTTATCCTATGTTTATCTTGATAATATCATTCATGACTTGGTTCTGATATCATTTGATCAGTTCGTTCCCCCCTCCCCCTTAATCATGATAAGTGAACTTTCTGATTTTAGTTTAACTACAAATTTACTCCACATGTCCTAAAATTAATTTTTTTCTATCCATAATAATGTACTTCATTGTGGTATTGTTAGCTTATGTTGTGAAATTTTCAGGCTGTCCGGATTGGAGACTTGGAACTGTTTAGGAACATCGCAGACAAGTTTTCCACTACCTTTAATGCAGACAGAACCCATAATTTGATTGTTCGATTGCGGCATAATGTCATAAGGACTGGTTTACGCAACATCGGCATCTCCTATTCCCGTATCTCTCTAGCTGATGTTGCTAAAAAACTGAGACTGAACTCTGCAAATCCTGTTGCTGATGCTGAGAGCATTGTAGCAAAGGCTATTCGTGATGGTGCGATTGATGCTACATTGGATCATGCCAACGGGTGGATGGTGTCCAAGGAAACTGGAGATATATACTCCACAAATGAACCTCAGTTAGCCTTTAATTCTCGAATTGCATTCTGTCTTAACATGCACAATGAGGCGGTTAGAGCACTTCGTTTTCCACCAAACACTCACAAAGAGAAGGAAAGTGCTGAAAAAAGAAGAGAGAGACAACAGCAAGAGCAGGAGCTGGCTAAGCATATTGCAGAGGAGGATGACGATGATTTCTGAGAAATGTCCTTTTTCACCCTACCAATTGCTATCAGGATACCTTCATTCCCAACCTTTTCTCTTGTTTTTCTTTTGGAAGAACTTCCAATATCATTTCCTTTTCCAAAGGCGAATTTTTCATTTTCTATGTGGAAGAGATGTGAAAGTCAGTTTAACACATCAACATATTTTCTGTTTGTATCCACATCCATTATGACTGCTATGTTTTATTCGTTGTTCGGAGATTTATGTTTTAGGACCTGAAGAAGAAAGCTAATTAGTTATTATGGTAATTCTATTCAGAAGTTTTTTTATTGTTGGGAAACTGTTGCCCCAAAGGATATATTGAATTACAGTTTGGCAATCTAGTTTTCTATCAGTAACGTTTCATTTTCGTGGGTTCTTAACTACTACTTTCCTTATTTTTTATTTTCATTTTTTCTTTTTCTGTCTGTTAAGAGCTTTCAGTTGCTTAGATTGTTAGTCCATTGTTTCTGTTAGGTTGTTCTTTTTCTTTTTTGTTGCTTTACCCTTATCTTGTATAAATACATTTCTTCGTATTATACTAATGCAGGGAGTTTATATTGGTCATTCTGTTCACTCTTTCTCTCTGATATGGTATCAGAGTTCTTCTCTTAAAGGGCTTTGCGTAGTTCCGCAAATCTCTTTTATTCTTGGTCAAACATTTAGTGGGCACAACTAACTGAATTTCTATTCCCACATAAATCTGTAACTGAATCTCTATTCCTACATAAATCTGCCATTGGGTGTTGTTTTGATCTTTAAGATCAAACAATGCTAATGGTTCCATTGAATGTTATAAAGCACGTTTGGTAGTCAATTCATAGAAGGAATTGATTAGTTTTTACACTTTTTCACCAGTTGTCAAGTTTAGATAGTTTGACTTCTTGCTTTTATTGTCATCAATAATTGGCATATCAAGTAACTTGATATAAATAATGCAATTTTACACCGTAATTTTGATGAAGAAGTCTACATGCAATCATTATTTGATTTGTCTTTTGTCAATCTTTGATAAGTCTGTAAATTAAAATGTTTCATTTATGATCTTTGATAGGTTAGTTGTCATTGATACGTATGTTTTTCTTTCTTTTTTCTTACTAATGGATATTATTCTTCTATTTTTTACTGTATCTCATGTTACTAGTCTCATTTATATTAATGATATTGTTCTTACTAAAGATGATATTAATGAAATCTAGTATATTACTTCATATTGTGATTTTACCTTTAAAATAAAAGACCTTTTGGTAATTTGTATCTTTCTTGTGATTAAAGTAGCTCATACTGTAGTTGGTATTCATATATACTCTTGAATTATTATCCAACAATGACATGTTAGCCTCTCATCTAGTGACCACCCTTATCAATTGCAGTTCTCGGTTTCATTCTACTTCAAGAAATCTTTTCAAGATGCATTTATATATGGTTGCTTGCTGGCAAACTCATCTACTTAATCCACACATGTTCAGATGTTCGGATATTACATGTTCATCATTTAAGTCAATTCATGTCTTCAGTCTTCTTCTATTCGAGTACATTCTTCCTTATTTAAAGAATAACCTCAATGCAGACATACTCTTTTCTGCAAATGTTTCTCTTCAGCTCAAGGCTTTTACTGGCTCTGATTGGGTAGGATGTGTTGACTTTCGCTGCTCTATAACTAGTTTTTCAATCTATCTTGGTTCATCTCTAATATCATGACACTTTAAGAAATAATTTACTGAGTTCAAGAGTTATTCGGAGGTTGAATATATCGTTCTTGCTTGTACCATTTGTGAGTTTTAATGACTCATATTTCATGACACTCTAAGAAATAATTTATTGAGTTCAAGAGTTATTCGGACTTACTTGTACCACTTGCGTGCTTTAATGACTGACATATTTACTTCAAAATGTTTGTGGGCATTTCATTTGTCCAACATTGTTATACTATGATAATCAATCAACCATATAAATTGCTTTTAACTAATTATTCCACAAACAAACTAAGCATCTTAATATTGATTGCTACATTGTGAGAGAGAAAATTAATAATAGTCTAATAAAACTCTTACATATATCCTCATCTTTCTCATTTGAACGTTGTTTTCAATAAAATTTTATCTTCCATATTATTCCACCCTAAGAATATTTAATATAGGGAACTCTTAACTATTATTCTGCGTATATTTTATTTTCTTTTTTCTATTAAGAGTTTTCTATTGTTTTTTTTTGTTGCTTTACCTTTACCTTATATAAATATATTCCTTCTTATCATAATAATACAATTCAGTGAGCTTATATTGGTCATTCGCTTCCCCCTTTCTCTTCGATTGTATCACTCTTAGAAATCCTTCCATTTGCGTGTAGATGGGGATTGGATTAAAACAAATGCAAGAAATGAAAAAGCGGGGTGGGGCATAACTTTTTTTGTTTGAGTGTTACAAAGGAGATCTAAAACCTGATGTGAAAATAATCGACTAAAGAACTGAGCATAAGCGTTGCTGTAGGGGTCTGGAGCCAAGTCATGTTTTATTTGTGAATGAACGCGTTTCTAAAGATTCACATTCTGTTGTTTAATTTATTGCGAAGATCTAACTGGGTTCTTGCAGATTACTTCACACGGTTGTTTTAGTTCAATTGTGTTTTTTTTACTTGTAGAATAATTTCTTACGATTATGATTGTATGCATTTGTAAAACCACTGCAGTGATTGGATGAATTGTAGAAGGAAGGTGGCGTTATCTGTCTTAGCCACTTCACCTAAAATGGAAGTGTATATATCTTTTGAAAAATATTATTTGACAACCTTAAAATAACTCGAAATAATAGTATATGGACTGTGGTTATTTGGGTCGTGAAACAATCATCACTCATTTTTTTTGCCACCTATTCGCTGATCAACATGTTTTTCTATACGAACATGGTTATTTACCTGTCGATGGCTACGTTGCATAACAAAATCAATTCATTGTTCATTTAACTGAAACCTGCTTTAATTTCAATTACTTTCCTTTTCAAATTAGTTTTCCTTATTCAAAGAAAAAAATAATATAACTTCGTTACTCTTTATTTTATTTTCTTTCCTAATTTCTGTCCTGTATCATCCTTAAACTCAGGTCTTCCCTTTCTCTCAAATATGCAAATCCTATTCACTACTTTGCAAACATAGTACAAACTATAAATTGCATCAATTCTACCGGTAAGTAATGATATGTTAAATTAATAAAATGGATTATTCGCTTACTGTATTTTGCAGACCCAATTGTTAGACAATTATTTTCCTATCATCAAATGCCTTCTCAACCCACCTCACCCACCATTGTTTTGCCCCTTCCTCTTCAATCTTCCCTTCACAACCTCACTCTTACAACCAGTCTCTTTACTTATACCGTACCATCTTCAGAAACCAATCTGCAACTCCTTCATAGTCATGTGAGGCATGACACGACGCAGATTTGACACGTGTTGTCGTCCCATAATAATACTTCTTACGTATAATAAAATTAATGTAAAGGGTACATAAATTTTTAAGAAATATATGTTTTCGAATGTTTTTGACACAAAATGTCAACCACTTTATGTGTTTTTACCACCGAACGTGGAAGAAGCAGATTACTTCCGCCATATCTCTTTTCTTTTCTTTTTACGCGGATTTGAGTTTAAGATAGATGGGAAACGCTAATGCATTTTACATGTATTTTGTTAATAAAAATAGGAGAAATATTAAATATTGCATTAAAGATACTGACAGTACTTTTTATTCAATATTAGCTTATATCATTAAAATAAACTCTAAATTTATTAAAGAATAATACAACTTATGAAACTGTATATAAATTGTGTACATAAAAGTGTTGACTATTTTTTTGTCACCCAAAACTGAATAAAAAAAAACTGTTGAGACTAACATATTTCTAGAAATAGAACCAGACACTTTAAATATTTTTCATTTTATGTAAACAAAGACAAAGATTAATAAAGTTTTGATTTTGAATACTTATCTTCCAAGAATTTTTTCTCTTATTATACGATTGACACGAACCCTGCAAAATAAAAAGAAAATGTGATTAGTGAAGCAGAGAGGAGATTAATCGGTGGTGAAGCAGAGATAAGCTGATCGGTGGAGAAGAAGAGAAGTTCGAAGGTTCAAGAAGATAAGAGAAGACAACAAAAGAGAGAGAGAGGAAAAACAGAAATGACAGAGTGGTAGGAAGAGAAAATAGATATTTCTTCAGTAAATGGGCTGGTAAACAGTAAACGACCTAACATATTGGTATCAGAGCAAGGTTCAAGAAAGGGAATCTTGGGAGTATTGCTGCGTGTTCTACTCATGGTTAGTGGTGGTTTGATCCCGGGAAGCTTACCCATATTTGATGGAAAGGGCTATGATGATTGGTGCGTAAAAATGGAGGTCATTCTTTGATTTCAAGAAATTGATGAGATCGTGAAAGTGAGTTTCAAAGAACCACCCAAGAATGCGGATGAAGGAGCCAAGAAGACATACACGGAGATGAAGAAGCTGGATTGTAAGGCTCATGTATTGTTGCATCAATGTGTTGCAGACCCTATTTTTCAGAAGATCTTAAAAGCTGTCACAACAAAGGAGGTTTGAGAGATTTTGCAAAATGGATATAAAAATTCTGGGAAAATAAAGAAGGTGAAACTACAATCTTTGTGAAGGCAGTATGAACTTCTCTCTATGACAGAAAAGGAGACTGTGACAGAGTATTTTGACAGATTGCAGGTGATCACTAATGCCATGAGAGCATGTGATGAGAATATAAAAGACTGCAGAATTGTAGAGAAAGTTTTGAGAACTTTAACCCCATGGTTTGACCACATTGTGGTGGCCATAGAAGAGTCAAGGGATCTTGATATTGTGACACTAGAAGAACTGCAGAACTCTCTTGAAGCACATGAACAGAGAGTGAATGAAAGGAAGAATGATGAGAAGGTGACTAAACAGGCTCTATAGCCCAAAATGAGTTATGGAGGCAGAGGCAGAAGTGGCTAGAG